GGAAGAGTATGTAGTTCGTGGATTTCCTTTTTGGTGGGTACAGGGAGGAGTGTAGCTGATGGATCTTTTTTCATGGGGAAGGTGGTGGGTGATTCAGCCAGGGATTTTTCACATATTTTGCTGATCGAGGTGAAATTTTTTTTTGAGGCAACCTATTCCGGCAGCTCATCATCGATAATGACAAATCCACTACCAGTTTCTCCACCTCGTCCAACTTTTCTGTACCAGATAGGCTTGTTCTGTTGTTTAACTGAACCAAGCAGATGCTCCACGTTGTCAGCAAGAGCCCACTCCATAGGGCACTGTGAGAGGCTGATCTGCAGCCACATACACCGCTCTCCCAAAAGAGTGGTTTTATCCATGTTAATGAAACCCCACCTCTGACACTTTTGGATTCTTCTTTAGTTAAAATCATTCAAACTCTCCCTTACAGCAAAATCCCTTAAAATATTTTAATATACCCTCTGAGCTTGGACATTTTACTGACTTTTAACAAGAGCTTGAATATATTATGTTTCCTGTATTCCTGACCTGCTCTTTATTTTCAAAGGTATTTATGTAGAGACAGGATCTTTGTTTATCAAGAATTTATCTGCTTTTACTTCTTATTACTTGGGGCCAATTCCTGAAGTGCTAAATCGGTTTAAAAAGCTGGTTACTCAGGTAAAACCTCACTGAAATCCATGCGAGTTTTGCCTGCATAAGGGCTGGGTAAGAACAAAGTAAGGAGTTCATGACCTGGCCCCACCTGAAGTCACGGTGTTGTTTGGGATATTATTTTGTTGTTTGTTTTGTAGTAGTGCCCAGGAACCCCAGTCATGGACTGTAGTAGGTGACTTCTGGGTACTCTTCTGGCTCTGTCAATCTGTTTCTTCACTTCAGCAGGTGGATATTGTAGTTGTAAGAATGCTTGATAGAGATCTTGTAGGTGCTTGTCTCTGTCTGAGGGGTTGGAGCAAATGCGGTTGTATCGCAGAGCTTGGCTGTAGACAATGGATCGTGTGGTGTGGTCTGGGTGAAAGCTGGAGGCATGTAGGTAGGAATAGCGGTCAGTAGGTTTCCAGTACCCAGAAGTCACCTACTACAGGACAGGCCCAACAAAGAAAATAACAGAACGCCACTAGCCATCACCTTCAGCCCCCAACTAAAACCTCTCCAACGCATCATCAAGGATCTACAACCTATCCTGAAGGACGACCCATCACTCTCACAAATCTTGGGAGACAGGCCAGTCCTTGCTCACAGACAGCCCCCCCAACCTGAAGCTAATACTCACCGGCAACCACACACCACACAACAGAACCACTAACCCAGGAACCTATCCTTGCAATAAAGTCCGTTGCCAATTGTGTCCACATATCTATTCAGGGGACACCATCATAGGGCCTAATCACATTAGCCACACTATCAGAGGCTCGTTCACCTGCACATCTACCAATGTGATATATGCCATCATGTGCCAGCAATGCCCCTCTGCCATGTACGTTGGTCAAACTGGATAGTCTCTACGTAAAAGAATAAATGGACCCAAATCAGATGTCAAGAATTATAACATTCATAAACCAATCGGAGAACACTTCAATCTCTCTGGTCACTCCATTACACACCTAAAAATTGCAATATTACAACAAAAAGACTTCAAAAACAGACTCCAACGAGAGACTGCTGAATTGGAATTAATTTGCAAACTTAGGCTTGAATAGAGACTGGGAGTGGATGGGTCATTACAAAAAGTAAAACTATTTCCCCATGTTTATTCAACACCCCCCCCCCCCGTTCCTCAGAAGTTCTTATTAACTGCTGGAAATGGCCCACCTTGATTATCACTACAAAAGGTTTTCTCCCCCATACCCGCCGCCCTCGCTCTCCTGCTGGTAATAGCTCATCTTAAGTGATCACTCTCCTTGCAGTGTGTATGATAACACCCATTTTTTCATGTTGTGTGTGTATATAAATCTCCTCACTGTATTTTCCACTGAATGCATCCAATGAAGTTAGCTGTAGCTCACGAAAGCTTATGCTCAAATAAATTGGTTAGTCTCTAAGGTGACACAAGTACTCCTTTTATTTTTAAAAACAGCCTATTTGCCCCTGAAATTTTTCAAATTTGCATGCAATTGTCTGACCTTGCAATTTTGTGAATTCAGTCACTGGCAGGTTCAAACACTGGCTTTGAGACCTCCAGCTACCTGGATGGTCCTCCAAACAGTTAGATGTCTCAGTGTTATCATGTGCATCCAATATATATTGTGGATACAAAATTGGAGGTTGAATTGGGGCTCTATTAGGAATTTAGCCCACAGCCACAAGTCATGTTTAAACTAAAGTCTTTTTTAAAACTAATGCAGTCTTTATACAGCTAGTTAAATTGGGAATAGAATCCTATTCTTCCAGTGATAAGGGTTTGAAGAGCACAAAATGTTATAATCAAAGCACATTGTACGAATATATAAGGGCCCAATGTACTAATGAGGGGATATTGCGTTAAACTTTGCAAATGAGCATAGAAAATTGCTTATAGCAAACTGATGAAATTAAACATATTGGCCAGAAGGTGGCATTAGAAACATTAATTTTATTTGATATTCAAAGCTGCACTCAGCCTACATGCAGTTGCTTTCCTGAATACCCAAGAACACCTTTGTCTTTATTTTTCAGTCCTGTTTTGTTACAGTATCTAATCCAAAACATTTTGTTTACTCCCCAAGAAGGAGTGGAGATTACTATAAATTACCACAAAATAAATCTGATTGCAAATCCTAAAGTAATTGTATTAATTCCCATCTGAAAGAGGGAGACTGAGTGGATATCAAAGTCTTTATTATTTAGGAATCTTCTCCATCATTAATAATGGCATCCTTTTAGGTTATTCCTTCCTTCTCTCTCAAACAATAAAGGTCCCAAGCCAGTAACACCATCCTTGTGGCTGAGAAGTATTGGATGAGACTGCTCTAAGAGTCTGCTGTGGAATGGATGGAGACACTTCCTCACTACCCCAAGTCACTATCTGTTCTCTGTGTGTGCGTGCGCGAGCATATCTCTTCATGGCACGGCGTACTACTGAGCTGACCTAAGACCTTCATTCTTAACAAAGATTAATTTGTAATTAGTTTAAGCCTAATTAAAATCATATTATAGAGTCATTATCAAACTGAATCATTCAGACAGAGGTTATAAATTGCAATAGCAGTGCCTGGCACTGTAGATAATGCTATGCTAAATAAACACAGTTTTACTGATATTAAGCAAAAATTAATAATTTAGTATCAAGACCCCTCACCCCCACTATTGTCGTAAGGAGGGCAAATGGCAAAACCATTCATTTAGTTTTTGGCACTGTTAACAGTTAACATAGTGTAAACCATTAATAGGCTCTGCACACAAAATTACTTTGAAAAGTTCTAAGCTTTCTATTTTCAGGAGCACTTTACAAGAATGTGCATTGCTAAATATAAGAAAATGGGTAACTAATGCAGTAAATGGCTGGAAGTTGAAGCTAGACAAATTCAGACTGGAAATAAGGCATACATTTTTTAACGGTGACAATAATTAACCATTGGAACAATTTACCAAGGTTCGTGGTGGATTCTCGAGAAGGAACGCTGGTGGCTCCGGTCAGCACTGCCGACCGGGCCATTAAAAGTCTGGTTGGTGGTGCTGTGGAGCTAAGGCAGGCTAGCCCCTACCTCTCCTGGCTCCACGCTGCGCCCCGGAAGCATCCAGCTGGTCCGGCTCCTAGGTGGGGTGGCGGGGAGGGCATGGGGCTCCGCAAGCTGCTTCCACCCTGAGCACCAATGGGAGCTGTGGCGGTGGTGCCTGTGGGCAAGAGCAGTGTATAGAGCCACCTGCTGCGCCTCTGCCTAGGAGGCAGACCTGCTGGCAGCTTCCGGGGCGCAGAGCGGAGTCAGGGCAGGCAGGAAGCCTGCCTTAATCCCGCTGGGCTACTGACCGGGAGCCACCAGAGGTAAACCCAACCCCCAGCCCTGAGCCCCCCACTACCTGGAGCCCCCTCCGGCACCCCAAACCCCTCATCTCCACCCCAACCCCCAGCCCAGAGCCCCCTCCCACACACTGAACCCCTCTGCCCCACCTCCAGCCTGGAGCCCCCTGCTGCATCCCAACCCCCTGCCCCTGCCCGGAGCCCCCTCCCGCACCCTGAAACACTCATTTCTGGCCCCACCCCGGACCCTGCATCCCCAGTTAGAGCCCTCACCCCCTTGCGCACCCCAACTCCCTGCCCCAGCCCAATGAAAGTGTGTGAGGGGGGAGAGTGAACCACCGAGGGAGGGGGAATGTAGTGAGCGGCAGACAGGGTCTAGGGGAAGGGGCGGGATTGGGTGTGGCCTCAGGGAAGGGAAGGGGCTAGGGTGTTCAGTTTTGTGTGATTAGAAAGTTGGCAACCCTATGTGTGATGCTGTGCAACTCACTTATAGCTTGATTTTCAAAGACTGATTTCTCAGTCCATTGGTTCCCTCATCACTAAAATAGGGTTACTAATACTCAGACACCCTTGTAAAACGCTACACAATCTTTCAGTGAAGTGCACTATAGATGCAAACATTCTCATTATAAATATTCCACTATTAAAGCAAGAAGTTGGGCAAACATTTCCATGGTGAAGGTTATTCTTCGCCATCATCACGTTTCTTTGTTAGCTCTGCCTACTCATTAATCAAGTACACTTCACACAACATCCAGGTTTCGGAGTAGACAGGCTAGAGCACTGCTCTCGAAAGTTGCAAAACTACCTTTTTAAGAAGAGGATATGTAAGTACTTGCAAGGACTTCTATAAAACTAGGCAGCCTTTGAGCTAGTCCTCAAAGTGTTGGCAGTTCTCATTTAAAAGTCAGGCAAAACAATAACAGTGAGCAAAGCAAGTTACTGTAGCCAGATAATTGTATTAAATCTCAAGTATACTGGTGGAGGGGAAGGGGAAAGCTGATCTGTCGTCTTTTCCTAGCTCATGTAAAATAACGTAAAGTCTAAGTGTGGGTGGTACCTGTCCTGGATTGAGTGTAACCACATGGGCCTGGGCTTTCCTGAACTGAGGATAGTGTTTCAGATCAGGGTTGACAACGTTGACTTTGCTGAATATGCTGGATTCCTCATAAGGGATCCTAGTGGGATAAAGGAAAGTGGTGTTGCCAGGTGGGAAAAGGTGCCATCTTTTCCTGAAAGGAGAGAGAAGATAAAAGTTGATTCAGTAAATGCCTGTTATGATGGATGACTGAAGGCAATCACAAGGTTGTCAATAAAACATAAATCTGCCGCCTGTTTGCGTCTCCTACACAGGGAGAACACATGCCGTTCTTACAGGCTGTTCTACTAAAAATGATTTAAAAAAATTCTACAGATTTTTAACTAAAAAGGAAGATTTGCAGCTTCTCAGCAATTAGTTTTGCAAGGGGAATAAAAAAAAAAGTCTGTAGCTCTTCCATTTAGTTTCGCCTTCCTTCTGCAGAGCACCTGAACAGCCTATGGATGCTCAGGGCAACGCTACCCTACAAAATTAAGTCGACTTAAGTTATGTCAACAGACAGCCACTGTAGTAATTAAATCGGTTTTGCATGGTCACACTAACTTCTTCTGTCGGCGGTGCACATCCTAGCTAGGAGCGCTTGCACCGATTTAACTGTCTGCGTGGGGTACTGACAGCCAGAGCCCTGGGCGGCAGGGCTCCGGCTGTCTGCTAGGACAGTCTGAAGGAAGCAACACAGTGTCTACATTCATCCGATGAAGTGGGTTTTAGCCCACGAAAGCTAATGGCCAAATAAATTTGTTATTCTCCAAGGTGCCACAAGTCCTCCTCATTGTTTTTACTGAAACAGACTAACACGGCTGCCACTTTGAAAAGTGTCTACCCTGACACCGCACCAACCTAACTACATCAACCTAGTGCTACACCTCTTGAGGAGGTGGAATTAAGTCAGTGTAGCAACTTACATCGGCAGGAGTAACATTATAGTGTAGATTCTTACAGAGTTAGGTCTCAAAGTGTTCACAACACCTGACGTTTGTCCTATGAACCATGATCTCACGGATGAAGATTAAATTTTCATTAGGTAAATATATTTTGATTCACTAACTGACTGTCTGCAATATCCCCGCTTGCTATAAGTAGAGGGCACTGTACGTATGTGATGTTGATAGTAATAGGAGTACAATTTTGATCTTCTACTACATGTTGTAGTCTACATTTCTCAGCCCTGGTCTAAACTAGGACTTTAGGTCGAATTTAGCAGCGTTTAAATCGATGTAAACCTGCACCCGTCCACACAATGAAGCCCTTTATTTCGACTTAAAGGGCTCTTAAATTCGATTTCCTTACTCCACCCCTGACAAGTGGATTAGTGCTTAAATCGGCCTTGCCGGGTCGAATTTGAGGGACTGTGGACACAATTCGACGGTATTGGCCTCCGGGAGCTATCCCAGAGTGCTCCATTGTGACCGCTCTGGACAGCACTCTCAACTCAGATGCACTGGCCAGGTAGACAGGAAAAGAACCGAGAACTTTTGAATCTCACTTCCTGTTTGGCCAGCGTGGCAAGCTGCAGGTGACCATGCAGAGCTCATCAGCACAGGTGACCATGATGGAGTTCCAGAATCGCAAAAGAGCTCCAGCATGGACTGAACGGGAGGTACGGGATCTGATCGCTGTATGGGGAGAGGAATCCGTGCTATCAGAACTCCGTTCCAGTTTTCGAAATGCCAAAACCTTTGTCAAAAGGGCATGAAGGACAGAGGCCATAACAGGGACCCGAAGCAGTGCCGCGTGAAACTGAAGGAGCTGAGGCAAGCCTACCAGAAAACCAGAGAGGCGAACGGCCGCTCCGGGTCAGAGCCCCAAACATGCCGCTTCTATGATGAGCTGCATGCCATTTTAGGGGGTTCAGCTACCACTACCCCAGCCGTGTTGTTTGACTCCTTCAATGGAGATGGAGGCAACACGGAAGCAGGTTTTGGGGACGAAGAAGATGATGATGAGGAGGTTGTAGATAGCTCACAGCAAGCAAGTGGAGAAACCGGTTTTCCCGACAGCCAGGAACTGTTTCTCACCCTGGACCTGGAGCCAGTACGCCCCGAACCCACCCAAGGCTGCTTCCTGGACCTGGCAGGCAGAGAAGGGACCTCCGGTGAGTGTACCTTTTAAAATACTATACATGGTTTAAAAGCAAGCATGTGAAAGGATTACTTTGCCCTGGCATTCGCGGCTCTCCTGGATGTACTCCCAAAGCCTTTGCAAAAGGTTTCTGGGGAGGGCAGCCTTATTGCGTCCTTCATGGTAGGACACTTTACCACTCCAGGCCAGTAACACGTGCTTGGGAATCATTGTACAACAAAGCATTGCAGTGTATGTTTGCTGGCGTTCAAACAACATCCGTTCTTTATCTCTCTGTGTTATCCTCAGGAGAGTGAGATATCATTCATGGTCACCTGGTTGAAATAGGGTGCTTTTCTTCAGAGGACATTCAGAGGAGCCCGTTCCTGCTGGTCTGTTTTCCTGTGGCTGAACAGAAATGTTCCCCGCTGTTAGCCACGGGGAGGGGGGAGGGTTGAGGGGGTAGCCACGCGGTGTGGGGAGGCAACCAGCCAACCAGCCACTCCACCACAGAGGATTGCCCCCAAAAAAGAAGGCTGGCATTCAATAAATTTTAAAGTTGTAAACTTTTAAAGTGCTGTGTGGCATTTTCCTTCCCTCCTCCACCCCCCCCTCCTGGGCTACCTTGGTAGTCATCCCCCTATTTGTGTGATGAATGAATAAAGAATGCATGAATGTGAAGCAACAATGACTTTATTGCCTCTGCAAGCAATGATTAAAGGGAAAAGGGGAGGGTGGTTAGCTTGCAGGGAAGTAGAGTGAACCAAGGGGCGGGGGATTTCATCAAGGAGAAACAAAGAGAACTTTCACACCGTAGCCTGGCCAGTCATGAAACTTGTTTTCAAAGCTTCTCTGATGCGTACCGCGCCCTCCTGTGCTCTTATAACCGCCCTGGTGTCTGGCTGCGCGTAACCAGCAGCCAGGCGATTTGCCTCAACCTCCCACCCCGCCATAAACGTCTCCCCCTTACTCTCACAGATATTGTGGAGCACACAGCAAGCAGTAATAACAGTGGGAATATTGGTTTCGCTGAGGTCTAAGCGAGTCAGTAAACTGCGCCAGCGTGCCTTTAAACGTCCAAATGCACATTCTACCACTATTCTGCACTTGCTCAGCCTGTAGTTGAACAGCTCCTGACTACTGTCCAGGCTGCCTGTGTACGGCTTCATGAGGCATGGCATTAAGGGGTAGGCTGGGTCCCCAAGGATACATTTTGGCATTTCAACATCCCCAACAGTTATTTTCTGGTCTGGGAATAAAGTCCCTTCCTGCAGCTTTTGAAACAGACCAGAGTTCCTGAAGATGCGAGCGTCATGTACCTTTCCCGGCCATCCCACGTTGATGTTGGTGAAACGTCCCTTGTGATCCACCAGAGCTTGCAGCACTATCGAAAAGTACCCCTTGCGGTTTATGTACTCGGCGGCTTGGTGCTCTGGTGCCAAGATAGGGATATGGGTTCCGTCTATGGCCCCACCACAGTTAGGGAATCCCATTGCAGCAAAGCCATCCACTATGACCTGCACATTTCCCAGGGTCACTACCCTTGATATCAGCAAATCTTTGATTGCGTGGGCTACTTGCATCACAGCAGCCCCAACAGTAGATTTGCCCACTCCAAACTGATTTCCAACTGACCGGTAGCTGTCTGGCGTTGCAAGCTTCCACAGGGCTATCGCCACTCGCTTCTCAACTTTGAGGGCTGCTCTCATCTTGGTATTCATGCGCTTCAGGACAGGGGAAAGCAAGTCACAAAGTTCCATGAAAGTGCCCTTACGCATGCGAAAGTTTCGCAGCCACTGGGAATCGTCCCAGACCCCCAACACTATGCGGTCCCACCAGTCTGTGCTTGTTTCCCGAGCCCAGAATCGGCGTTCCACAGCATGAACCTGCCCCATTACCACCATGATGCATGCATTGGCAGGGCCCGTGCTTTCAGAGAAATATGTGTCCATGTCCTGATCACTCACGTGACCGCGCTGACGTCGCCTCCTTGCCCGGTATCGCTCTGCCAGGTTCTGGTGCTGCATATACTGCTGGATAATGCGTGTGGTGTTTAATATGCTCCTAATTGCCAAAGTGAGCTGAGCAGCCTCCATGCTTGCCTTGGTATGGCGTCCGCACAGAAAAAAGGCGCGGAACGATTGTCTGCCGTTGCTCTGACGGAGGGAGGGGCGCCTGACGACACGGCTTACAGGGTTGGCTTCAGGGAGCTAAAATCAACAAAGGGGGTGGCTTTACATCAAGGAGTATTTCAGGCAGGACTTCACGGAGGGTTCCAATAAGAAATGGTGCACCTAAGTTATTGTTCTTATTGGAACAAGGAGGTTAGTCTGGCCTCTGATTGATACATGGCTAGATTTACCTCGCTGCACCTTCTCTGTGAGTGACTGCAGTGTGACCTAGAGGAATGAGTCCCGTAGATGGGGGAGGGGGGGGAAGCAAATGAGTACAAAACAAATCTGGTCTATTTCTTGTTTTGATCCACTCCATCTATCTTTTACATCTTTGGCTGGCAGCAGACTGCATGCCATCCACATCTCATGGCTGCTCGGCAGAAGATGGTGCAATACGACTGCTAGCCAGTCTCATCTCTTGCCTGCCCAGCAGAAGATGGTACAGTATGACTGCTAGCAATCCGTATCGCCTGCCTGCTCACCATAAGACGGTTCAATAGGACTGACTGCAGAACTAAAGAGAATGACCTGGTCAAGTCACTCCAAATTTAGTCTCTGCGCCCATGTCTGCCCAGGCGCTCCCAGCAGATGGCCAGGAGCACCTCGGACATGACGATGACGGCTACCAGTCGTATTGCACCGTCTGCTGTCACAAGGCAATGGGTTGCTGCTACTGTGTAGCAATGCAGTACCACGTCTGCCAGCACCCAGGAGACCTAGGGTGACGGTTACCTGAGCGGGCTCCATGCTTGCCGTGGTATGGCGTCTGCACAGGTAACTCAGGAAAAAAGGCGCAAAACAATTGTCTGCCCTTGCTTTCACCGAGGGAGGGAGGGAACGGGGGCCTGACGATATGTACCCAGAACCACCCGCGACAATGTTTTAGCCCCATCAGGCATTGGGATCTCAACCCAGAATTCAAATGGACAGCGGAGACTGCGGGAACTGTGGGATAGCTACCCACAGTGCAACGCTCCGGAAGTCGACGATTGCCTCGGTACTGTGGAAGCGCTCCGCCGAGTTAATGCACTTAGAGCATTTTCTGTGAGCATTTTCTGCACACACTCGAATATATAAAACCGATTTCTAAAAAACCAACTTCTATAAATTCGACCTAATTCCGTAGTGTAGACATACCTTCATATTCACCTGTTAATCACAAAGTTAATTGTTATTTAATTTACTAATCCATAACAACTTGGTGCTCATCTACCATAGTTAGGAGTATGGTATAAAGATGTAAGTTAGATAGATATGTGATTAGCAAGAGAAGGTGGGAGAGGTAATATCTTTTATTGGATCAACGTTTATCGGTGAGAGACAAGCTTTTAAGCTACAGAGCTCTTCTTCAGGTATGGGAAAGATAAGGCGGAACAGATTGTTTAGCATCAGTAGTAAGTACATATTCTAATCTAAAGGGACGATTCAAGGTGGAGACCATTCAAGATGGAGTGGCCCGTTAACACCTTTGCAGTCATAGGTCAAAAAAAAAAAAAAGGGAGGGGGAGTTAGTGGGTTACAGATTGTTATAATAAACCATAAATCCAGTGTCTCTGTTCAGTCCATGATTTGTAGTATCTAGTAGAGTTATGAATTTAAGCTCCCAGACTTGTCTTTTGAAAGCGTGTTGGTTTTCTTTGAAGAATCTCTTTGTGAAAAGTGTTCACCTACAGGTGATAAAGTATTTTTGTTTTTTGTCATTTTCCTGTCTGAGTTCATCTGAGAGTGTAGAGAGTTTCACTCACATGGTTGTTTTTGGGGCATTTAGTGCACTGCATGAGATATACCGCATGTTGTGATAGGCATTTGTAGGATCCAGCGACTTCGAAAGGTGTGTTGTGGGAGGGTGTTGATCATTGTAGCAGTGGAGATACTTCTGCAGGTTTTGCATCTCTGATTATGACAGGGTCTGGTGCAACTTTGGATTAGGATATGTCTATACGTACAGCGCAGCCAATACAGCTGAGCGACTGCAGTGCGTCTGGTGAAGACACGCTATGCCGAAGGAAGAGAGCTCCCCATCGGCCTAAAAAAACCCCAATGCCTCAGTATTGTCAGCATAACACACCAGGTAAGGGTCATGATGTCTATAGTAGCTAGTCCACATAGTGATAAGAGCCTACTACTGCTCCCACTTTATGGGATCTTAACTCTAGTAGTAGATGACTATGCTTTAGAGTGTAAAGTCCCACACTTAATTCCTAGCTGTGACCCGTGGTGCAGGTACTCCATCAGCATGCACCATGCTGTGCAGAACAAACGGGAGAGATGGACCATATCCCAAAGAGTTTACAATCTATTTAAATTGCACATGCTGCACTGAAAAAAATGTTGAGTTTGCCAGACCTTGGAGCATCAGTTTATGTATAATATAAATAAATCTTCTTACCAGGTAATTTCTGCATATATTTATCCATATTGCTGAATGGCTAATACACGAGGCAAAGTAAACAGGCCTATAAATAACAATTTATAAGGAGAATACATTATATGATGGAAATAACCGGAGTAGGAGTAATTAAAGTAATAGCCCAAATGGTGAATTTATGAAATGTTTTAAGAGTAGCCATCTCATCAATACAGCAGTGACCCGCATATTTACGGACACCATGGACTGGAAAAACAGAAGGCAGCACTTTGAAGCAAGGTTAAAACAATCTGCGCTGCTCCTCTCTTACTTCCAGATTCTGGCTGCTTCCCCACTTCTTGTTCCTCTCCTGTTTTCATGCCACTTAGCTCTTACATACTTGCCTAGTGAATCTAGTTGTCAGTTCTAAGTCACAGATCTGAACATGAGACATGAAGAAAGCCAAGTGGCACAAAACCAGAAGAGATGGGAACAGAAAAGTAGCCAGAACCAGAGAGATCAGCACAGATGGGAGTACCACAGGTTGCTGACATTTCTTGGTACAGATAATAAAAGCTACTGCTAAGCAGCTGGCACCAGAGAGAATTTTCAGTTTAAATAGTTTACTTATTTCCCGAAACTCAATTACAGTAATATTTTGCACAACCACAACGCCCTGGGAAGGGACAGGAGATAGACTAGCTTAGAAAGCCATGGGGCTCCAGGCCTGGGTTCTATGCAGGAAGGCAACGGTTATATGAGCAGGACCACAATACAGCAGTATAGCCTGTTAGCCTCTCAAGAAGCCAGTCTGAAACACATAAGAGGAAACGCGTGTTAGCAGCAAAGGGCTAGGGGTAGCTCAGTGGCTGTACTGAGGAGGCAGCACCACTAACTTCAGTGTAAGCCTGTTTTGTTGGTTGTTGTTGTTTGCCAGCCAGTTAAAAAGGCTTTACTGTGTCTCTGCTCTAAAGAGGCAAGGGATCCACAAACTGTCTTAACATGCAGCCTCTTTGAAAAGCTTTACGTTCTTCTTGTTCTGAGAAGGAAAAGGATTTTGTTTCCAGTCTGCTTGAAGGTTTTATGCATATTCTGTCACAGGGAGGAGCAAGCAAACAGAACCAGGGAATTCGCTTTCCCAGAGAGAGGAAGTAATTTTGGGAAGGCAGACAAATCTGCAGAGCAGACCCAGAATTCTGTCCAACATTCCACGCTGGAGTCTGGAATTCCAAAGTGTATAAACTATAAGGACAGCTGGGGGGCAATTCTGTCATGCAGTAGATCCCCCAAACATGTACTACTGTACCTGGATAGGACAGCACATAGTGTCTCTGAAGTCAGTGGGACTGCTCATGGTAATAAGCACTATGGTGAATAATATTTGTTGAATTGGGCCTCTTGTGCCTCCCATATGAGGATCTCAAATCTCTTTACAAACATCCATGAAAACACATCTGTGAGCTAAGTGTAACTAATGCTGTTTGAAAGATGCAGGACCACTGAGATAAAAGCCTTGCAGCAATGCAGGGCCCAGTCTTATGCCTTAGTCACAAGACTATCCTTCCCAAAACACAGTGATTTAATTAATCACATTAAAACCCCACTGGCAAGCTATTCTGCCCACCCCCACTGTACACTGGAATGTCTGACACAAGTATATACAAACTGCTTTGTTCTTGGACAGTTGCTAACTGGGGTTGGGTTTAATAGATTTTTTTTAAAGGAAACTAAAGCAAATACTTAAGGGAAAGAAGAATTGCATGGGATTTGCAAACAGGAAGAATGAACAACAAAAAGACAGGCCGCACATTTGAATTTCAAGCCTTGAAGTGTCCCTTTTAACTTTCCTCAGAGCTGGCTGCTACTGTCCTAATGTTTCCCTTTTGAATCAATTCTAACAGGTGATTAGAGGCTTTAGCCTAGAGCAGTGGCTCTCAACCTTTCCAAACTACTGTACCCCTTTCAAGAGTGATTTGTCTTGCATACCTCAAGTTTAATCTTACTTAAAAACTACTTGCTTATAAAATCAGACATAAAAATACAAGTGTCACTGCATACTATTACTGAAAAATTGCTTACCTTCCCATTTTTATCATACAATTATAAAATCAATTGGAATATAAATATTGTATTTATATTTCAGGGTACAGTATATAGAGTAGTATAAACAAGTCACTGTTTCTATGAAATTTTAGTTTGTACTGACTTTGCTAGTGCTTTTTATGTAGCCTGTTCTAAAACTAAGCACATATCTTGATGAGTTGATGTACTCCCTGGAAGACCTCTGCATCCCTGGTTTAGAACCACTGGCCTAGATTAGTTTATTTCCATATTTTTTTATTGCAAAACACAAAAAAACCAACCAAACCTTCCTAGCCTCTTAACCCCATCCTGCTCAACTCATAACTATTGATGTTTTAAAATATTTATTTATTTTAGATATATAAAATAGGCCCAGTACAAGGCTGGTTTATAGTAAAAGTTCCCTCTGTAAATTCTGTATAATTTACAATGACAGTTAAAAAAATATAGGTAAACAAAGACTCTCCTTCCTCAAACATATCAAAATGTAAATTGAAAAGGAGTACTTGTGGCACCTTAAAAGGTGCCACAAGTACTCCTTTTCTTTTTGCGGATACAGACTAACAGGGCTGCTACTCTGAAACCTGTCAAAATGTAAATTATGCACCAAACCCTCAAGCCTTTCATCACTTCCAAAAGAAAAACACACTCAGCTGTGCTGGATCACTGAAGGCTTCAGAAAATTAAAATGTTTGAAGAGTTAACAATTAAAATACCCGAAGGCTGGTTTATAGTAAAAGTTCACTCTGTAAATTCTGCACAAACATAAATATTTATGGTTACCTTCCTTGTATCTGTAGTACTAAATTGCAGCCATAGGAATCCAAATGACAAGGAGTGTTTGCTCCGGCTGAGCCAATCCACAACGTGCTCTCCTTTCCATTTCTTCCAGGGAAACCAAAATCAGACCACATTATATCCTGTTGCAGAGACAAAGTTATTGATAGGTTTCAGAGTAACAGCCGTGTTAGTCTGTATTCGCAAAAAGAAAAGGAGTACTTGTGGCACCTTACAGACTAACCAATTTATTTGAGCCTAAGCTTTCGTGAGCTACAGCTCACTTCATGTGAGCGAAGACATCTTATCATTCTTCAACTTCTGTCACCCTGTCCTCTTATGTTTCTCTTCTCTCATTACCTCTCTGATCACTTTCCTTTTCATCTTTTTCTGTTCCTCCTATTCCCCTCCATATAGGGATCCCACAAGGGATCCCATTCATGGCCTGCTCCTCTTCTCCCTCTAAATCTTATCCTTGGATGACCTCCTGAGCCCTGATTGTCTATGCAGAAGATTCTGAAATCTACTTCTCCATTCCTGCCCTGTCCCTATATCTAAATGTCTCTCCAACAATAAGCTGAGTCTCTTATTTTTCTTCCTAAACCCTCATCATCCTCCTGTCTCCTGAGCCGATGGTAGAGGAATGAATTCCTGGTTGAAAAATGTCAATCTAAAATTTCAACAAAAGAAAGAAACAACATTTTCATAAAATCTTCACTGTTTTTTCAACCCATTCCATGATCTGTGTAGCACCTCTGACTCCTCTCTTTCTTCTTATACGTCTTGTCACTACCACCACAATTTCCAAAACATTCAGCCCTTCCTCTTTCTCCACTTGAGTGGCTAAAGTTTTTGTATCCTCTGTCCTCGATGTCTGAAAATTTCTCCTCCTTTTGTATAATGGTTTTGTATAATAGCCCTGCTCCTGCCTTTGCAGCCGGGGAAGCATCCTGGGCAGCTAACTCGATGCAGTTCTGCTGTAAAGGGAGATGGGGAAGGACAAAAGCATAACTGTTATGGAGGAGGGCAGCAGAGGAATCCACCAGCGTTTGGATCCTCCCATCCTCCTTTCTTTGGTGCAAAAGGCATATGAGGATACATAGCGTGGTAGTGACCCATAATGCATGAGCTTGGGTGGTTTTCCCTTGAATGGTTCTCCCTAGTTTGCGGTAAGGGATTCCCATCTACACCCCCAGCCAGCCCCCCCAGGAGCAGAGCACACCCTAAATAGTCTGGCCAGCTGCTGGGCAGGGGATTTGTCTATTAGAAAATATTTATCCTGAGGCAGGCAATATTGTCTAATGGATAGAGTCCTAAACTGAGACTTAGATGATCTGAGTTCTATTCCTAGTTCTGCCACTGGCCTGTTGGATGGCATTGAGCAAGTCTGAGCTGCAGTTTCCCCCATCTGTAAAATGGGGATAATGATACCTCCTTTGTAAAGTACTTTGAGATCTATAGATGAAAAGCAATATAGCTAGATAATAATTATTACTGCCATGAATCCATATTCTGGAATCTTTCAAAACAAATGAGGTACTGTTAGAGACATCTTGATTTTAAAAATATAATTAAAAAAATACAATAGCCTAATAAACTTTTGTCGAAATCAAAAAGGAAAAGTTGCTCATAGAGCTTTCCACAGACATAAAATTTAAAATCCAGTATAATTATTTCAGTGAAAAGTTAAGCATAATATCTCTACACTTTAATCTCACACCTAAATAGTTTTTGTATTTTTTTACAATTTAAATGGAAAGATAGTGCATACAATCAATATTCGATTTAAAAGAACTCTTTGAAAATGCTGCAGCCATAGTAAATACTTGAAGCAATTGTGGGTAAAATAGTTTTTAAACAATGAGCTGAAAAGAAATTGGTAGGATTACTGAAATCTTGGCACAATGGGCTTCTTTTTTACAATAAAAAAGCTACAGAAAGAAGAAATGCACTCAAAGAGGTGTTCCAACCAGAACAGATGGCACATTACGTGTGAATTACATTTATTTCATTTTCTGCTTATAATGAAGTTAATCTGTATCCGTATATCACTTTAAAAGGTCTCATTTCTATTTAAACTTCATGCATATATCTTGCTGCTGATTTATATTTCAAATGCTGTAATAAAATATCAACTGAACAAAAAAAATGTAAGATGCTAGATACTGCTCATAGATTAGAATAATGGAATCATTACCTTAACCCACACAACTGTAAATGATAAACAGTGCAATCTAAATTTCAAACAACTTCTAAATGGCCCTATTAATCACTATAAATAACAATGTAGTTAGCTTTCTTTTCCCCTTCAAGTCACCTTTGGTAAATCTAAATAAAATCTAAATGAAAAAGGTGTTAACATCAAATTCATAGGAGAACAGGGGAGAACTACTACAAATAATACTTTTGGGTGGCACAAAAGTGCAGTAGTGCTTGGCAATTTCTGCCAGTCTGTAGTGGACTGCAGGCTTTCACTTCCATGCCAGTACAGTCAGCATATGATAAGTAGATAAGATTCTTAAAGTCCTAAGTATGTACTTGTGTGGGTGGAATGGCAGTTGCTTCCCTCAAGAAAATTTCTTATTGACCCACTGAAATAGCAGTTTAGGTAGATGTTCTGCATGTGGTTATTTTATGTAATTCTCCCAATCTTGTGCCATAAACTAAGGGTCCATCGGGGCAGGAATATACAGGGCCAAAATTCGAGGCAGTCATGTAGAGAAGTGGTTCTCAAAGCCGGTCCGCCACTTGTTCAGGGAAAACCCCTGGCACACCGGACCGGTTTGTTTACCTGCCGCGTCTGCAGGTTCCGCCGATCGCGGTTACCACTGGTTGTGGTTCGCCGCTCCAGGCCAATGGGGGCTCCGGGAAGCGGTGCGGGCCAAGGGACGTGCTGGCTGCCCTTCCCGCAGCCCCCACTGGCCTGGAGCGGTGAACCACAGCCAGTGGGAGCCGTGATCGGCCAAACCTGCAGACATGGCAGGTAAACAAACCGGTCTGGCGCGCCAGGGGTTTTCCCTGAACAAGCAGCGGACCGGCTTTGAGAACCACTGATGTAGAGTCTGGGCAAGCCTGAAATGGTGCTGGAGCTTCAAATCTTGTTTACCTAGAGAGAATTCCCTTCATGAATCATGCTGACATTTGCAGAGAGTAAACACCCCAACATTTAGAGTTCAACTCGTACTGTATTATTTATTAAGCACTGGCAATATGTTTGACATGCTGTAGAAGAGAGTGCAAGGTAGAGAGGGCCTGGAGAAAACTTGCAATGTGTCCCAAAACTTTGGCGTGGATGTGTGCTCATCCTTTCAAGAATGGGCTACTCTCATGTATTTTAGCACTTTCATGAATAGTAAGGGCATAATCCTGCAAACACTTGTGCATTGGTCTTCAAGAGGAGTACTTGTGGCACCTTAGAGACTAACCAATTTATTTGAGCATAAGCTTTCGTGAGCTACAGCATCCGATGAAGTGAGCTGTAGCTTACGAAAGCTTATGCTCAAATAAATTGGTTAGTCTCTAAGGTGCCACAAGTACTCCTTTTCTTTGCGAATACAGACTAACACAGCTGTTACTCTGAAAACTGGTCTTCAAGAATTACTTAATGAGGAACTGTGTGCCTCCTGAGTCAGTATGCAGCTGAACAAAATGGCAGTGAAACTGTATTATGGTCTTGATGCTGCAACTGGATCTGTGTAGATGGGATCTTTGGGCCAGTGGAGCTCTACTGAAGTTAATAGAGCTGCACACAAATGTAATGGTCTTCCTGCATTGATCCAACTGCAGCATCAGGGCCTCAGTCTGTAAACTATCATGCATGCCAATTGTTTTTCATATTAGTGGAATAATCAAACCTCATACTCACATCTTAAATAAAGAAAGCAGTGGAGGTTTTAAGCTGTACAGGTCACATAAACGGCAATTTAAGGGCCTAATCCAAAGCCCACAAAAGTCAGTGGAAAACCAGACACCCATTATCTTCAGTGGTGTCTAGATCAAACCCAAAATTATGTGTGGTTGGGTGGGAGGAAGAAGTTACAGCTGCTTTAGACAATTTGTTTTGCAACTCCGATAGTGCTGTGTTTTTAAATGTATGTCAAGAGTTCCCCAAGCTTGAGATGGGTGCTCTTTGGTGTAATATTTTTGTTAGACTGAAATCAAAATAAATAAGTAGCCAATAAAACTAAAAAATTGGTCAAAGGAATAGAAAAGTGAAAAGGCTAGACAGATTTAAAAAACTATAATAAATCACTTACAATAATTAACCAACACCTTTAGGACATTTTCCTGCATAGTTCTGAGTTGAAGGTAAAGTTAACGGTTTACCTTGAAAATTTCCGTCTTGTCTTCAAATATCATAGCAATATATTTATAGTCAGCATAAGTCCAATATTTGGAGAAATCATAGCAACTGAATGGTCTAGAGACACACGTAGGCTGTCCACAAGTCCAGGCCAAAAACTCTTCAAGTGTAGCTTCCACATAACTGCACTTGGTTTCAAATTGAGGAGCTGGAGCAATATAAGAGAAGATAACATTACATGCATACTGAACACAGAGCTATAAAAATAGAGATAGGGTGAAGCACTTTAGTGGACGAAACAATAACTTCATCTCAGCTCGGCCCACTGATTAAATGCAATAAAAAATCCAAAGTGAAATTAGCTCAGTTGCCTCAGCCCAACACATAACTGAAAATAGACCACATCACCAAGCTCATAACTAATTTAACACAATTGACAGTCAGTCTGTCCTTTAATTGGTCTCTCTCTTTAAAGGTTCTCTCTCTCACACGTTCCCCCCCTCCTTCCCCTTATTGAGGCTTCTTTGATTTATGGAGCTGGACTCTAACTTTTCTCCTCTCATCTAAGGGAATAACTAAATCAGCATCATTTTACAGAAGCAGCAAATAGTGGATCCCTACACATGTTCAATAACGCACCTGAAAGGCTGTCATTATTTTTCAGCACTTATGGATAAAGCATCTTGCCAGCCATAAAAGATTCACTAGGACCATTACCCCAATTGAAGGAAGCATTCTTTCCTCAGGAATATACACACAGGATAGGTAATTTTTATGTATTAAAAAAAAAAAAAGATTTAAAGTACTTCCACAAATGGGAATCAGCTTGCAAGGCTGAATTCACTGAAGCTGACAGAATGGCTGTTTGGAAAAGCAGTGAAAAACGCTCTGTATCTAACTCTGTTTGGGAAATATTTTTAAAACTTTGTTCAGGACATAAAGTACAGCCACAAAGATCTATGCTATAAATGCCTTGGAGCCTTCATTGTGCTAGGCGAAAAGGGATCATTAGTCCACATGTGGAGGGCTTCTGGCAAAAGGTTTGAATTTTGATTCAAAATAGTGCACAAATACACCCATCCCTCTGCCCAAAATCCTATTGTGTTGATCTGCATGTGCAGAGTACAGTGGCAAGAGGAAAAGTACCACAACAGAAGCAACCAAAATAAATAGGTGGATCAAGTCTAATTATTACAGATAATCCATATGGCCAAGTCAGTAAAGATTTGCGATTTGTGGGGGATAATCAGCTGAACTTGAGCTCCTAGTATGACGCTGTGGCCAAAAGGGTTAAAGCAATCCTTGGATGCATAAACAGGGGGATCTTGAGTAGGAGTTCGGGAAGTTGTTATACCTCTGTATTTGGCGCTGGCCTGACCGCTGCTGGAATACTATGTCCAGTTCTGGGGTCCACAATTCAAGAAGGATTTTTATAAATTGGAGAGGGGTCAGAGAAGAGCCATGAGAATGATTAAATAAGAAAACATGCCTTATAATGATAGATTCAGGGACCACAATTTATGTCACTTAAGAAAGAGAAGGTTAAGGGGGTGACTTGATTACATTCTTTAAGCTACATGGGTAACAAATCTTTAATAATGGGGTCTTCAATCTAACAGAGGGATAACATGAGTCAATGGCTGGAAGTTGAAGCTAGACAAATTCAGACAGGAAATAAGGTTTCATTTTTTAACAGTGAGAGCAGTTAACCACTGGAACAACTTATCAAGGGTTGTGGTGGATTCCCCATCACTGATAATTTTAAAATCATGATTGGATATTTTCCAAAAAGATCTGCTGTAGGAATTGTTTTGGGGAAGTTCTATGGCCTGTGTTATACAGGAGGTCAGACTAGATGCCCACAATGGTCCCTTCTGGCTTTGGAATGTATTAATAAAAAGCTGCTGAAGAGGATGTTATTCAATCCCAAATCTGGGGTAGGCTGCAGTGCAGCTGTGCTATGGCTGCTTTTCCAGCCTTTAGTTTGAAATAATGTCCACAGTACCGCCATGCCTTGTACACTGGGATTCCTAGCCAATGGATTCATGTAACAGTGGAGTCAGAGGCCCTGAACTCTTTCCTTCACACAAATGTATTCAGAGCAGATATGGAAGCCACCTCCCCACTGCACAGGTCCCCTTGCACAGCTACTCTGCCTTCAAACATGTGCCCTGTGCTAGGGGTATGATGGCAGTCCCCCGGCACAAAAGCCTTTGAGTGGGCTCTATGCTAATGGGTGAATTTCCCCCTTTGGGTGGGATTTTGCAAAGCTCCCAACGTTGGCTCTCTCTGCTCCCATTGAAGTCAATGGCAGATTTTTATCATTGACTTCAGCAGGAGCAGAGTTAGGCTAATACTGAGCATGTCTGAAAAACCTTAGCAAGTAGGATGGGGAAAAAAATAGAACCCAGGGGTTGGAACAACTGTGTGAGTCTGTTAAATCACCAGCATCATCAGTTCTGTTACCATAAAGCTTGGCACCATTACAGACCAGAGCATTTTAAGTCTTCACTGCACAGAAGAATCAGCATGAACACTGGTTTTACTATCATTGCCCTCGTGTCCCAGGAAGATTCTGGTACACTATTTCAGGTCAAGGTCAAGTAACATGGGAAGGCGTACGTTGCTATACCATAGTGCTCATCACCTTTGGCTTATCAGAGACCTTCATTTCCCATCACAGCTAGTCCTGCCAGCTTCAGATATACTCATCCAGACTGTAAAATGAAAGATTACATACTGTACTACAACCATTATTGATGGAAAAAATTACTACAGGCTGCCTGAATGGCAATGAAACAGCAGTAATTTAACCTTGGACAACTTGCACGCAGCTGCTTAATAAGGGAATCCTTTTATTCTTGCACAATAGTAAGAGCTCTGGGGAAATTCCTCATTGCTCTGATTTTGTTATCATGGCAATTCCCATACAGTCTCATACATCGATGCAACTTATATCACTCTGGGGTGTGAAAAAGCCACCCCCCCCGAGCATCGTAAGTTAGATCGACTTAAAGCAGAGTCTACACTGAGCTATCAGCAGGAGACGCTCTCCCACCAACATAGCTTCCGCCTCCCATTGAGGTGGAGTAATTGAGCTGGTGGGAGAGTGCTGTCCCGTTGGCACAGCGTGTCTTCATCAGATCTGCGCTCCAGCGGTAGTGAAGACAAGCCCTTACAAACTTTCACTATCACCCTGTCGTTTTCCACTGTAGTAGTGTTGGTAGCAGCTCTCCGTCCAGCTTGTTTTCAAGTTTATTAGCTACGAATGTCAGATAAGCTTAGTATTTAGCAATATATAACTTGGCTTGGTGCGATATAAGGGCTTCCTCCAGAAATCACTTTTCTCTGCACAAGAACTGCACTGAAGACACAAGAAACTCCCCTGCCCCATCTTAAAATCTTATTTCTGATTCATCCTATGTGTTGCAGGTGAATGCTGCCTCCAAATATCCAGTCATTAATGCAGTGTACATCATTTTGCTAAAGGATGGGCTGATGTAAAAATTCCATAAAAGGTATCAGAACTATTGAAGGCAGCTCAATATCTGAATTATTTTGATGAGAACAAAGAGTGCTCATGACACTGCCTGTTTATGAGATAAGACAGAAGCAACTATTTTAAAGTGAAGAAATAGGGGTATTTCTAACTTTCCATGTATTTCACACAAAGCTTTATTTGAAAAATTCCAACTATGAACAGTAAGTCCTCCAGACCGTTGAAGACTGTTGCTTCTAGGCTGTAACTTCCTCAGGACAGGGATCTTGGTTTAATTTACGTTTGGTTCAGCATCTATCACACTGTGCATAATGAATAACAAACAACAACAAAAGCAAGTATTTAGAAAGTCTAGAAAAACGGAGAAGTCTACAGCAGCATGCATGCAATTGTCAGTGATCAGAATTGGAAAGCAAGAACACGAACAGGCTTCTGACTATTTAGTGACTGAAGAATTTTAAAAATGAGAATTCTTAGACTAAACCAAACAACTCTAAACTGGGCTAGCAGTGCTGTACATTGAGGATATCTGAGTTTGATGCCTGTCACTGATCTCTCATTCCCTGCACTAGTGCTGTGAACTCAAACTTGTTAATAAGATGGAGTAGTTTGTGCAGAACATCATCTCACCTACCTGCTTAAGCACTGGCATTAACAGACGGCTGAGAGGAGAGATAAGTCTTCAAATATGTAAAAGGCTCTGATAAAGAGGTTAGTGATCAATTGCTCTCCATGTTCATTGAGGGTAGTACAAGAAGTAATTGCTGTAATTTGTAGCAAGGGAGATTTAGGTTAAATATTAGGAAAAACTTCCTAATTATAAGGATAGTTAAGCACTGAAATAGGATTACCTAAGGAGGTTATACAAACCCTGTCACTGTAGGGTTTTAAGAACCGGTTAGACAAATACCTAGCAGGGATGGTCTAGGTACATTTAATCCTGATTCAGTGAAAAGGGATGGACTAGAAGACCTCTTGTGGTCTCTTCCTGCCCTACATTTCTCTGACTGTATGATGCTAATTGCTGTTCCATCCAGAAGGATGGTGTCTGCAATGCAGGGCCTCTAAGTAGAAGTATGGAAAATGCAGTACCTGAAGGCTCCAATAAAGGTGCATGGCTCCACCTTTTTATTTATTTTGATTTATGTTAAAAAAAACACACAAAAAACCAAAAACCACCCTACAAAACATCCATCCACACTTCTAGGGACCTTAAGTATTTAAAAATAACAATCCATGCAGAGAATAACTACTTAACAGTATAACAAAGCACACACACACTCACATAGAAGGATGTGGAAAAATTGGAAAGCGTCCAGGGGAGGGCAACAAAAATGATTAGGGGACTGGAACACATGACTTATGAGGAGAGGCTGAGGGAACTGGGATTGTTTAGTCTGCAGGAGAGAAGAATGAGGGGGGATTTGATAGCTGCTTTCAACTACCTGAAACAGGGTTCCAAAGAGGATGGATCTAGATTGTCCTCAGTGGCAGCAGATGACAGAACAAGGAGTAATGGTCTCAAGTTGCAGTGGGGGAGGTTTAGGTTGGATATTAGGAAAAACTTTTTCACTAGGAGGGTGGTGAAGCACTGGAATGCGTTACCTAGGGAGGTGGTGGAATCTCATAGAATCATATAGAGTATCAGGGTCGGAAGGGATCACAGGAGGTCATCTAGTCTGGAAGGGGAGGGCTCCTACCTCATACTG